TCAAATTCAAAACTAAGAAAAGTGACATGAAAGTATGATCTATATATTTTCATACAAGGAAATATAGTGTAGGGTAAGCTCAATGCGTGAGACATCCATTTTTGTGCGGATTTTAAAGAATAACTAGTTGCATTTCGGTTCGCTCCCGTCTGTGTTGGTTCCTCCTTAGTACAAGTAAAATTTCCACCCATTGAATGGATTGTCAATTTTAGTATATTTTTTTGAGAGCACAGATAAAGCTTATAACACCCCTCAATGTCATTGACCCTCCATAGGAAATGAGGAAAAGGTGTTAAAGAAGTACTCTGACAAATGCGGAACTACATAAATTGCTCCTGATCAACCAATAAAGAATAATGCTCTAGTAAACTCCGCACACACGAAAAAAGTGAGAAAGCGAAGACAATATATAAAAAAAGAAGAATGAATTTTGAAAGGGGAAATGTGCTAAAATGTATGTCGAAAGGTTGGAAGAAGTATTTCTAACTAAAAAACTTGTTTTTCCTAAAAAGCTTCACCCTATGTGTTCTGAGACTCGTGCATGGTTGGTCATTTATGATTGAATTAATTTTTCAGTTATTCATATTGATGCACTTAGATTTCTCTTGTGCTATTGTTGACCTTTTAAGATCACTTGTGATCCACTAGCTAAGATCAAATTCTAGTAACGTTGTCTAGCTTTCATTGAGCTGTATGATTATGAGTAGTGTTTGCTTGGGAAAAGCAAAGCTAAAGTGTGGGATATTTCAGACAACACTCAAATTATAGGGTTCTCAAACTCCTATATTTGATACATTTCACTCTATGATCGATGCATCTTTAATAGTTTTTGTTATATTTCTATAACTTTCGTAACTATTTTATTAATATGGTTTTTTAGAACTTGATTATGTTTTAGTATTCTTTTATGCCTTTTTATATTATTTTGTGCATTTCAAGGTAAAATATAATCAAGGATTATTTGGATCACCTATTGGATGAAGTTGGAGGACTAAAGGGTCAAATACAATAATATTAAGGAGGTTTTCGTTTTTCAAACGAAGTCCAACTGAGGTGAAACCCTACTTGGAGTCATTTAAGCCCAAGAGAAGCTTGTTGGGCAAAAATCATAATGAATGGAGCAAGTCCACCATGGCGGGTCTAGCTGCCGTCCCACCACCGTTGGATCGAGAAGGACCAATTTGTCCCAAATTCATCGAGAAATTATCTTGTGAGCCAAGCAACCTAGATCCAGGAAGAAAACCATGCCGCGTCCAACTGCCATGTGGCTGCCTCTAGACCTAGGGCTCTAGAATCTTGTAGAAGCTTCTTTCTTCGCCTCCAAGTCAAGAAATCCGAGTTCAATTCTAACAAGAAAGTCTTTGACCAAATTTATTACTTTGTGATATACTACAATTGCATCAGATTGTCAATATATATGCTCATAATAACAGATGGAAACATAACTAAAGAGACTTTGAACCTTTGTTTCCGCCTATGAAATATAAATTAGAAGTTAAAATGTATACTAAATGTTATCTTAATTTTACTTATTATTTGGGGTTACAAGTTGATATTAAAAGTAAAAAAAAACATGTTATTTTGGCATCCAATGCCAAGTTTCAATGTGGGGCAGTGGAATAAACTTGAAATTGCGGGTTATTCAATTTTTACCTTTGATCCTTCATGTTGGAATCTAGATTTGCACTTTGAAAATTCAAATGAGGCAAGGAAAATCAAGAAAGGGGCCGAGGAAGAAAGCAAAGGATGCGCTAGGGTTGGGAAACGGTGCGGTCCGGTCCATACCAGACCATATACACGGTCTGCAGTCCAGACCGTGAGGGTACAACAGAGACCATAGACCAGACCATAACCTATACGGTCCAGACCAGACCACGCCTGTGCGGTGCGGTAGGGTCTGGACCGAGTAGACCATGTTCAACAAAACCTGTATTATCCAATGTTAAATATTAGCTAGTGACTAAAATAAAAAACGCATTGACATCTAATCTGACAAAGTTCAAAAGTCAACATAACACCAACAATTTCAAGTCTACAACCCAACATAACATGAGATTAAGAATCAACAACATCCATAGTTCAATACTAATAAGTTCAACAAATTATAAAGTGCAAATTCAAACACCATGTCCTTCACATGTTCGAAGTCGAGACAACATCATCACTTCCTCCAATCTCTTTGCTCATGCTAGAATCTTGGGGTACTCCGCTCTCAAGTTGCTGCTCCACCACAAGGACATTATAAACTAAACAAAGGAAGAAAACAAACCAAATAAATAGTTAGCAAATCCAAAACTCAGAATTGATATTTGATAATAGAACAACAAAAAACTATATTAATAAACATTACCATTGACTAAAGCTTCATCATCCTCATAATCATCTTCCTCATCATCCAAAGGTTGGAGGGAACCAGATCTAAGCCAATCCTCACTACATATTAGCGCTTCAACAATCTTAGGATGTAATGAACTCCTAAAGTCATCTAAAATTCTCCCACCGGTACTAAAAGCCGACTCAGAAGGCACTGTAGACATCGGGACAGCAAAGACATCCTTAGCCATCTCAGCCAAGATAGGATACCTCAAATGATGGGTCATCCACCACTGTAATACATCAAACTCAAGTTGTGTTCCTCCAGCTCCACCTTCACAAGGATGTGATAGATACATCTCAAGCTCAGATTTGAATTGACAAAGTGTAGGAGGTATGAAATCCGAATCAAATCCAGAATAATTATCTTCACAATCTTCATACATTGGGTCCAAATGACTAGAACTAGAAGCCTCACCAACCTGACTTTGTGTTTGTGTAGGTGGTGGTGGAGGAGGAGGTTGCCCCACCCTTCTTTCATAATACTCAAACAACAAAGTAAGCTCATCATCCAATTCTTTTATCAATTCCTTCCCTCTTACCTCCCCATACAACTTCTTCAAAACATGGTTTGGATAGCTCATCTTGAACCTCGGATCAAGCACAACAGCTATGTAAACCAACCGATTCAATCTAAGGTTCTCCCCCTCCCTCTCAGACCAATACTTATCAAACTTCTCCTTCATTTTCTTTCCCATCCTAGCCACATCAACATCATCACCAGCACTCATTCTACCAATGTGGTAGAATACACCACCAATTGCCTTCAAGAACTAATGAGATCTTGTATGAGAAGCAGAAGATGCAAGCAGTGTCAAATCATGAAAAAACTTCAGATATCTCAACAGAATCCGAGCACATTTCCAATCAGAATGTTGTGGGATCCCAATTTCTTCATGTTTGAACTTCTTGGCCTTCAAGTCGGGTACATAATCCTTATCCTTCCTCACAAGAGCATTAAAAGCATCTTCATAAGGAATATCAGCTTCTAACATGAGAAATTTCGAATTCCATCTAGTTGGCACATCTAAACACAACATCCTCTTCATTTCAATGTCATTGAAAGCCACACATTCCTTAAATTTTGCCAATCTAGAAGGTGAAGACCGAACCCATCTTACTGCCTCTCTCACTCTCCTAACAGACATGCCCATATCTTCCAAACCATCAGAGACAATCAAATTAGTAATGTGAGCAAAACATCGCATGTGGAGGTACTTGCCACCTATAACACTAGTACCCCACCCATCAAGCTTGTTCTTCAAATAAGTGATTACGGTATCATTAGATGTAGCATTATCAACTGTAACAGAAAAGATGCTCTTCAAACCCCAACCCTCTAAAAAACATGCAATGGCTTCCCCAACATCTTTCCCCTTGTGACTTGTAATCTTAGAAAAATTGATGATCGTCTTATGCAACTTCCAATCATCACCAATAAAGTGAGCAGTGATGCACATGTAGTTGTAGTTTTGGTTTGAAGTCCAAGTATCTGTAGTTATAGACACCCTTCCATCACACTTGATTTTGAAGTAGTCTTTCAATTTACCCCTCTCATCCAGAAATAATCTAAAACAATCTTCTCTAATTGTTTTCCTACAAGGAATCTTGAACATGGGACATGCACGTGCCATAAACCTTTTAAACCCTTCCTTCTCAACACATCTAAAAGGTAATTCATCCAAGGTTATCATTTCAACCAAACCACTTCTAATCCAATTTTGGTCAAACTTCCAAGTAGAAAGAGTTCCTTGGCCATCAATTGATTGTTGAAAAGTTAAGTTCAATTGACCTCTTGATTGACTTGACTCTTCCAATTTCTTCTTGCATTTCTCATAATGGGTTGTAAGAGTAGACGTACCATTACTTGATGGATCAGCAGCAAATGATTGACCACAAAGGAGACAGCTTCTTTTCTGGCCATTTTCAATATACCTCTTGTACTCCTTCCATATTTTCGACCTCAATTTACCCCATATACGGATGTCTTCGGCATCTTGGAAGATCGTAGTAGAAGCTGTTGGAGGTGTTGGGGCTGCTGCAGCAGCTGCTGGGGTTGCTGCAGCAGGTACTGGTTGCTTCCCTTGCTGCCTCGGAGCTGAAGGAGGCGACATAGCTGCTGAATCTGCATCAGTTCCAGAGCTATCTTCGTAACGAGCTCTTTTGCTAGCCTGAATAATAGACAGAGACATATTAACTATTAAGCATTCTGGCCATTTAGTAACAGTTTGAATTGGGGAATAGAAGAACAAACATAGGGGAATTGGCGACATATTAACTATTACCATAATTTTGGTTCTCTGTTGCAGCGACAGCAAGCAATGGTGGAGTCAATGGAAGAACCGCAAACGTCGATGACTATAGAGATACCAAGGGCGGGAAGAACGGCTGATAGAGTCAGCAACCCGAGTCCCTGTTCAATTTGATTCCAAAATTTGGGTTATGAAGATTCTCATTAAAGTCTAATGTAATGAAACAAATGTAAAGAGATCATTGTGTCTGCTAGATAGTACTACTAAATTTACAGATCCTGTGAAGCTTCCATATTAAACTGAATCCTAATTGAATTTAAAACCAAACAAAGCACCCAACTTTAAGAAAAGTCGATCCACTAAAGCCTAACAACTTTAGTTAAAGCATTGGTGCTTGCCCATTACTATATTTAGCAAGGAAGATGGAATTACCAGAACGTAGCCAATGGAAGCAACAATTATGGTGCGGTACTTCCCGAGGAAGGTATCGGCGACGAAGGCGCCTAGGAGAGGCAACAGCGACGCAGCTCCGGACCAAGCGTTGACGTTCGCTGCGGCGGCAGCCGTTGACTGGCCGAGTGGCCCCGTCAAGTAAGTGATGGAGTTGGAGACAAACAGCAACCGTGCAATGGAGCTGGATAGTCAACGACGATGGGGCGGATGATGGATAATCGGAGACGGGGAGGCTAGGGCGCGAGGTGACGATTGGGGTTGGGGATGCAAAGTCGGCGAGACGAAGCTCCGTGCTAGCCTGCAAAGTCGACGATTGGGGTTCGCCTTTCCGTTTTCCTTCTCCTTCTCCCTTCTCACTTCGAGCGAGTTGCGATGGGGAAGCACGGCGCACGCAGCAGCCGAATTGCTGGACAGCGGGAGGATAGGGAAGCACGCAGCTAGGGCTGTGGTGGGCTGTGGGCAATGAAATTGGGCTTTGGCCCATTGAAATGTGTAGGGCTGGGGCTGCCTAGTTGGGCTCAGTCCATAGTTAATTTTTGTTACGGTCTGGACGGTTAACCACGGTCTAGACCAGACCAAACCGTTCTAGACCACAAGTGAAAGAGGCAAACCATGGACCAGACCAAATTGTATTCATGGTCTAACGGTCCGGACCAAACCGTACGGTATGGTCTAAACCGCGGTTTGTCATACGGTTTGGTCTAAATTCCCAGCCTTAGGATGCGCTATAACATAAAAGGCATATATAATATACTTATTTGAGATTGAATTTACCAATCTATCGATGATCAATTTCGAATAATATCATTCATCGCCAAAAGTTCTAACAAATCACTCAAATTATATCACAAAAGAAATCATAATTTTTTTATGTAAAATTCAAGTTAGTAATTAGGCCACACAGAGACGATAATGAGGTTGGGAAACGAAGAAAATGAAGCAGAAATAAAATTAGTAATTCAGGTTGAACGGTATTCGTTTAAGTTAAAGTCTTTTTTTTTCTTAAAAATTTACGGTTAAAATAACGAATCGATGGACCAGTAAAACCTAAATGATTCATTGGTTTCATGTCTAGAAATTAAAAACCATTCGCTCCATCTAAAGTCGTGCAAGCAAAAAAAAAAAAAAACATACCTCTATTATAATTGGTTTGGTGATTCTACTAGTCCATACACTAACTCGATTTGTTTCTTATAACAATAGTTTAAAATCTTATTTCTAAGAGAACCATTGTGTCTAAATGAGCATAAATATGAGAGTCCTTAAGTGGACTTTAAATATAGATAAAACATTCTAAGGACTGTTTGTTTATTTTTATGTGAAGCTTTTTTTAATTCGGTTATTATTTTCTCGAACATAATTATCTTGGTTTGTTAAATCGAATGTGAAGAAGAAAAGAAAGAAGAAAGAATAAACATCCCATGATCCTGCCACTTCATTTGTTTCTCGATTATATTCAATTGAATGTATAATATGCATCATTGTGCATCGGAGAAAATTGAAGAATGTAATAACACTTCCAAAGACAAAGAATATCCGAAAAATCTCCACTTTATCATAAAGAATTCTTTTTTTTTGCGGGGCTCTACATTGTTCGGGTATATAATCTGCTGGTAATTTTATTAAATGGGCTTTTCAAATAAAAAATAGGGGATACTAGAGTTTGCTCCTCATTTTGAGAGAGGATCGGGTGCCATGTTAGAAAGGGTCGATATCGACACTCATTATGTTTTATTTTCCTTCTACTTCTTTCAAATGTGAGATTTGAGTTAACATTATACTTACATATTACTTAATTAAGATAGCTATTTATTATGGGATAATCCAAGTACCACATCGGTAATATAAGTGAAAGAACCCTTATATATTAGTGTCCACCAAGCTCATCAGTACGAGACCTTTTGGGAAGGACACCCAAGAGTAAAACCGTGCGGGCTTGGCCCAAAGCGGACAATATCGTACTAATTGAGCACCCGATTATGACAAGTGGTATCAGAGCCTGGTTCAGCGGATCCGGGGCGGTGGACGTCGGTTTGGTGGACCCTCATTTAGTGACCTCGGGTTTGAGATTTGCAATTGGTGGATCCAACATTGACTTGAGGGGAGGATTGTTGTGGGATAATCCAAGTACCACATAGGTAATACAAGTGAAAGAACCCTTGTATATTAGTGTCCACCTAGCCCAATTAGTACGAGGCCTTTTGGGGAGGATACACAAGAGTAAAACCGTGTGGGCTTGGCCCAAAGCAGACAATCTCGTACTAATTGAGCACCCCAGCTATGACACTATCAGTTTGGGTCAAGCTGATTGATTACCAGCTAGACTTGCTCTCTGGGGACAGTCTTGGAAGAGTGGCTTGTTTGATTGGAAAATCTCTTTGTATGGATCAACCGACGAGGAAGGACCTCTAATAACATGGTATTTGCACATGCTTTTCTTAATTGTTAGAACGTTTGCGGTAGATTTGTTGCAGCTAATGGCTGATTTTACGCTAAGTTCGGCGGTGGATTGAGAATAGGATAGAGCATTGGGCCACATTTAAATAAGAGGCAGAAAAGACTGGACCATAAACCGATGAGAACATAAACGAATAACTAAAATCAGAAATTTACAAAGGCTATACTAGCTCCAGATCCAAGGGAAGGCTGGGCTGTGGCCCGCGGGCGTCCCCCTAGATCCGCTACTGGCTAAGTTGTGTCTGTTTGTGTTATTTCAGGTCCTAGTTCGTGAGAGAAGTCTTTGGGAAAACTTTTCGGTCAAATGGAGAAGAGATGGATTAGTATTCGTTGACCATATTGAGAGCTACGGTAAAGTTAGAGAGTTAAGGCTGTAACCGTGACATCCCTTGCGAAACTGTGACTCGAAGACGGGGAGACAGGGCGACAGATAACAAGTTACGAGCAGACCTTCCAAGTTATGATCACGCCTGTAATTCCAGCTGCCAAACATAACTCTTGGTTTACGAATTGCTATGACGATGTCGTTTGCAGAGTCACAGGATGATTGGAGAAGTTACGGCCGTGACCTAGGTCGTAATTCGCGAATCTCCAGCAAACAAAAGGGCACACTCGGGCATAAAGAGGGTGATCTTATTCTCATCTTCAGAAAACGAACTTAGCCTATGTTTGGTCCGACTTTTAGAAGTGCTTTTCAGATTCAAAAGCTGAAGAAGGGCCAAATACCTCTAAAAGTTCGGCTTTTAAAAAGCTAAAAAGTGCTTTTATATAACATAAATGTAGATGCTTCGATTTGGAGTTTCTGCGAAAAACTGTTTTGAATATGCAAGATTATCCTTATCATATTTTAATTTTATTTTATTTATATCACTTAAAAAGTTAAAGGAAATTATTTAATTTAAAAGAAAATTAACAAGTTCCATTTTAACTACTTTTTATTGTTTAGAATTTTTATTCAAATTTTTTATTATAAATCATTTTTAGTCATTTTTCATAACCTCTTATATTAAAAAGAACTTCTAGAAGTTGTTAAGCCAAACACTCGATTGTTTTTTTTTTAAAAAAATACTTCTCTAAAAGCTCTAGGCTGAAGATGCTTTTGCAAAAATTATAGCAGGGCCAAACTAGCCCTTAGAGAACCGGAGAGAGATAGAGTGACGAACAACAACATTGAGGAGCTGATTCGAGCCACCTACGACCTTTGGAGCTCAATTCCTTCCCCTCAGAGTATCGATTGCTGTTCTGGAGAAGATTTCACTCACTCACACGATGATATCCATCTCCAGCCTTGCATTCCTTCCTCTCTCTCCATGGAGTAAACTCCCTTTCCACTTAGGTAGGAAGAACCCTAGATTTGTATGTTAGAAGCAGTTATATAAACCTAGATTTGTGATACTTGGTTATTAATTATTATATATTCAATTGAGGCAATAAATCAGAAAATATAAGTCTCGATCAGATTCTTATATTCTTGCTTTGACCTAGAACGATAGTCTCTGAATAGGTAAATAGGAAAACCTGAATTGGAGGTAGTAAATTGATTTCACATGAGTGAATCGGGTCATTGCTATGTACTAGAATCAAATCCCAATACATAAAGTATTATCAAATTGCCTAGGTAGTTTATTCCGGTGAAGGATAGTCTCCCGCAGGGTACTCTATTTATGAGGATCTGGATTGCTTTAGTCGAGATTCCTAACTATCTGAGGACTTTTCACAGTATAAATATCAATTGAATCGAATTAGAGGAATTACAAGTTGACCTAACTGCAGACTAAAGGGACGCTTACATGAGTGATCTCTCACATTTGGAAATTAGAACATTTACTTGCTTTCTTTCCAGCCTTGCATGCAAACAACTTCCCTACAGTTTGATTGCTAGATAATAGATAATTTACTGAGTAGTTAGTACATCTAGGACTCAGGGTGTCAATTAAAACTGAACCCAATATACTGCTTTCCTGAGTTATGATTATACTTGGTCGTTTCTTATGGTGTCAGTATTGGTGAGTAAAATTTTTGGCGCAGTTGTCGGGGACGGCTAAGTTATTGAAGAAAAGTGAAAATCTGTTACTTTAGCTTTACTTTTCTGCATTTTTCTTTCTACCTTATTTTCCACTTCATTGGTTTGGTTTTCAGCTTGCTACTTTAGCTTCACTTCTCTAGTTGCCCTTTGTGTTTTTTTTTTTAGTTTTTCATTTATTCTTGGAACTTTAGAACTCTCGATGTTGCTTTTCACCTGGTATCCGTTTGTGTATATGCAATATCACGAAAATGCAAGAGTACACGAGGAGGAATTTTGGCGGCTTATATGACATTTTTGGATGCAAATTGAAAGCTTGAGCACCATTTCTATAAGGTCTTGCCCCTCAACAGCAAATAGTAGCATTTGCAACTCTAAAAGGAACAATAATCACCAGCTTTATTCTTTTAAAGCTAGTGTGATTTGGCAAGAAATTACTCATGGAACACAAAAGTGAAGCTAGGCAACTCCTCCAAGATTATGTGCCATGATAAAAAAAAAATCAATATGATACTGGTAAGCCCATCGGTCCACACAGTTGTCCACGTACCAGTAGAAGATTCAGCAGCTACCGCAGCCCCCGCTTCCTCAGGCGGAACTCCTGGTTGAGGAGTTACTCGGAATGCTGCCAAGATATCAGTATCTTTGGTTTCATAGTCAGGAGTATAATAAGTTAATTTATAATCTTTAACACCAGCCTGGAATCCAACACTTGATTTAAAGTGTTATAACTGTTAGATCTTATCAAGGGCCTGAGTTTCACATTCCATATTTCTCTTCTCTCCATGGCTTTACTCATCAAACGTCATGTGTGGAAACCCCTCAACAGAACTCTAGAGTAGAAAGGAAACATCATGACATCCTCAATGTTGCTAGATCTCTCAAATTCCAATCGGGGATGCCCCTAAAATTTTGGTCAGACTTTGTTCTTCATTTTGTCTACCTAATCAATAGACTACCTACGGTTTCTCTAAGGAGCAAAACACCATATGCAATACTCTATAAAAAACCTTCAGATCTCTCCCAACTCAGAGTTTTTGGGTGTTTGTGTAATGCTAGCACACTTGAAAATTGTTGGACCAAATTCTCTCCTAGAGCTAGACAATGTGTCTTTCTAGGATTTCAACATGGGATCAAGGGGTACAAACTGTTTGACTTAGCTGATCAAAAAGTATTTTATTCCAGAGATGTTATCCTTTATGAATATATTATCCCATGCCTTGATTCTTTTCACCTCCTCCCACTGCTTCTGTTCCTTCTCCTCCTTTTCATTTTCATCAACCAACTTTCTTTGACATCAAAATCCTCCACTCCACCTTTCCAAAATACCACTCCAAATCTTGACACACCAGGAGTTGATGACTCTCCATACACAAATCTGGATGAATCATATAACCTAACTCTACTTATCCAATCAATCCTCCTTCTCCTTCTACTACACCAGTATCACCTACATCACCTTCACAATTTACCTCAACTTCTAACCCTTCTCCTACAACTCAAACACTCACCATCTCATTCTTCTATTCCAATTGCCATTCGAAAACCCACTCTTGTCAAACTAGTAAGATTTAATGACTTTGTTATGCATGTTGATTCACACATTGACAAATACAAATATCCATGGGTTGGTTGCTTATCCTATGACTAGTGGCCCCCGAGATATATGAAGTATGTTTGTGCAGTTGAAACTAATGTTATTCCTTGAACATTTGAGGAAGCAGTCAAATACAAATGTTGGAGGGATGCCATGAATGCAGAATTAAGGGCTTTGGATGCAAACCACACATGGGATGTGATTTCTTATCCTGCTGGGAAGAGATCAATTGGCTGCAAGTGGATATTTACCATCAGGTTCAATCCCGATGGGACTATAGAAAGTTATAAAGCTAGACTGGTGGTAAAGGGGTTTACATAGATTTATGGAGTTGAATTTCTTGACACCTACACACCAGTAGCTAAGCTTAATTCAGTGGAAACCTTACTTGCACTAGCTACTGTAAAGGATTGGGAATTACACCGGTTAAATGTCAGTAATGCTTTCCTCCGTGGAGACCTAACAAAAGTGGTCTACATGGATCATCTTCCTGGAATCTCTGACCCTAGATATGTTTGCAGACTTTGAAAGTCCTTGTAAGCCCTTAAAGCAAGCTTCTAGACAGTGGTTTGCCAAACTTTCATATGCACTGGTTGGTTTTGGTTATCATCAATCCCATAGTGACTATTCAATGTTTATAAACAAGACTACTTTTGACATTGTTGTTCTTCTAGTTTATGTCGATGACATCATCATTGTAGGTGATGATGTGCAAGCTATCAAGGCTCTCAAGCTATTTCTGCACTCTCAGTTTAAAATTTGTGATCTCGACCCTCTCCACTACTTTGAAAAGCTAGTGCAAGTAAGTTTTTCACTCAATTAAGCTTAGCTACTAGTGAGTAGTTGTCAAGTAAGTCACCTCCATAAATCTATGTAAACCCCATTTACCACCAGTCTAGCTTTATAACTTTCTATAGTCCCATCAGGATTGAACTTGTTGGAGGACAATGGATCAAGGGGAGGACTGCATATAATTCAAAAGAAATATCATACTGACCTGTTAGAGGACACTGGATATGAAGATTTTGAACCTGTTATAGCTCCAATAGACATGAAGACTCGACTCTTTGCTGATTATGGTCCTCTCCTTGCAGATGCAGATGGAACCCTCTTTAGGAAGATCCTTGAACGACTACATTACCTCACAATCATTCATCCATATCTTACCTTCACTGTCCAACAACTTTTTCAGTACCAAGCTTCTCCCACTGCTGAACATTTACAGCTTGTTTACAGGGTATTGAAATATTTGAAGAATGCCCCAGGACAATGACTTTTCTATCCTTCATAGTATGATATACAGTTATGGGGATATAGTGACTCAGATTTGGATACATGCTGAGATACAAGATGTTCTACCATAGGCTATTGTGTTTCCCTAGGAAAATCACTTATAATATGGAAATCTAATAAACAGGGAACTGTTTCTCGTTCCTCCTTCGAGGCTAAGTACCGAGCCCTTGCTCAGTTTACTTGTGAGATTGTTTGGGTAAAAAGACTTCTACAAGAGTTGTACATTGAACATTCAAAGCCAATAGAAGCCTTCTGTGACAATCGATCATTCATCTACTTCGCTGAAAATCTTGTATTTCACGAACGAACGAAATACATTGAGGTTGATTGTCACGTGGTACGATAGTTTCTTCAATCCAAATTGATCACTCTGAACCACCTATAGACAGAGAATCAGGTAGCTGATACGTTTACAAAGGGGCCTGATACAATCCTGGAATCGATCAAATTCCATCCAGGATTGATCATCAAAGAGGCCAAGTCGAATTCCGAGAAAGAAACAGAAAATTGTCCATGTCATTTTCCATGTTCAAGTAGCCTACTTTGGGAGGCCATAGATCTCAATTGGCGCGGTGTAAATTCGAGTTTGATGGTTTGTTCTGAAGATGAGATGTTTATCTATCCATTGGTATACTCTGGAGCTCGAGAAGAAGTCCAGAAGGTCATTTTTCAGGCTGTTCAAAAGTGTATCTGAAAAGCTGAAAACTGCCAGAATTTGGCTAATGCAGAAAACGTGTTCATGAAGCCTACTTTGGAGATCAATTCGAGAAGTATGAATTTGAATCGAGTCCAGAGGATTCTACCACATGAAATTATGTATGTTTGTCTACAAAGGCAAGGCATTGTGAAACAGAGTTTTATTTTCCTAGTTCAATTAAGATTCGATTGTTTGATATTTTTTAGTGCTTGTTCATATTAGAAGGTATCTAGGACTATTCTGTACATGTGTAACCCTAGCTTAGGTTTATTTAAAAGCTTTCTTTTAGGTTGTAAACTCAGACTTTGTTGAATTGAATAGAAACTTCGGTTTTGCGCAAGTTTGCGAACTTGTTTGAGTTTGGTGGATTTCAAGCTCGTGAGCTCTTGTATCGATTGAATAGCCTCTTCAATCGTGGTTAGGCATCTACCTTTCAATCCAATCGAGCGTTCCCCAGGCGTGAAATCGTCCTTTTGGTTCAGTTTTATCCAAGTTCGTATTAAGGAAGCTTCGTTCTTGATTCGAGCTCAATCGATCCTTCGATTGAGTCGTTAGCTGTGTGACTTTGATCACATACAATCCCCCAGGGTTGACCCATACCTACATGTTATTTGAAAAAAATATACGCAAATTTTACTTTTTACAATAAAACAAAGGGAAAAACACTTTATGAATGAAAAAAGTGATAGTTGAATAGGTAATTGAGTCTAACAAGTTGAAAAATCAACTCTAACTAGTTGAAGAAAAGTCAAATAGGAGAAATATATATTCACCCTATAAGAAATTGAGATAAAATGGATTTAGAATGGGGAGAGGCAGGGCAGGACGAGCCAGACATAGATACCCATGCTCTGCCGCTTGATACTGTGAGTCGGGTAATACCCGCCACATTACGGGTCAGGTCCGATAATACCCGTAGAGCGAATTCAAATTGCCATCACTGACGGGTCTCTCTTTCTTAAGGTAATTCGTCCGATTGATTTCCCGAGGAGGATGAAATCACGGAAACTGAAGGATAGTGAAGAGAGACAAGACCTATTTTTAGGGATTCGTGTGGTGGGATTGAGATAGAGGCATGTTGCATGGGGTTCACAGTAGTGATGGGAAAGGATGGAAAAGGAAGAAGAAATTGAAATGATATGAAATGAAGCTAGCCATCTACAGCCTTTTTTCGCAAAAAAATATTATATAAAATTTCCTTTCGAATATAATTATTGCTTTGCTTTGCTTGTTGGGCACTTTGTGGCAATCACATGTCAATCGGGAGTGTGAGAACACAAAGAAAGAAAAGAAGACAGTGGCAGATGAGAGGCGAGGCGAGGAAAGGAAAGGAAGGGAATGATGGATGAAGGAAGTCAAATATATTATTGCATTGCGTGGAGGAGATGAAAACAGTGTTAGGACAATTATATGATGCATACATATCTCTGCCTGCCAGGGAAACTCATCAAACAACTTGGGCAGCAATGCTACTGTCTGTAAAAAATTTACTTGTCATAGGGCTAAGGCCAAGGGCCTTAGGCTAGGCTCCAATGTGGGAAACCTTCTTATCCGAAATTTTGCTCTATATTTTTCATGACCGTCAAATACTATCTATTGCTTTAAAAGCAAAGAGAGCAGTTTGTCTATCGAATAGTTGATAAATAACTGAATAAGTGATTGTGGGGCATTTATATCTCGTTTGAGTTATAGTCGTTCGATTTTCGATGGGATTTGTAGTTTGATTCTCGATGGGATTGTTGAGAACTCGCAACTTTTTTCGTGTTTCATCATTTTCGCCGTAAAAATTTCACTAATTTAAATATTTTCTTAACAAATGAAACACGTTTTTACTTAAACTTGAGGGGGAAAAGATCACTTTTCATTTTAAAACCCACAAATTAATTGATTCTACTTTGTTAAAATATCTCAACCAACTATCTCAGCAATCTCACATAAAATATAAGATTTAACTTTTGAATAATAGTTATTATCAGTAGCGGATCCAGAAATTTTTTAGAAGGGTGTCCTCCTTCAAAAATTAAATTAAATAAAAAATGAAATAATTCATAAATAAA